ATTTATAAAGGCCTTTATGCAATTATTAAATGATTAGTCAAAATCTGGAAACAGTTTTGACAATAATTCTGTTCCTTCCTGCAAGATTGAATATTTCTTAAATTAAATGGTTGCAGCATTAGACTCTAGCAAAAAAAAGTGTAGATTCTAACTATAACATTTCTCCAACAACGCTTGTGGATATGATCCATGTAGATCATAATCTCTGCAAGAAAATGTATATTCAAAAAGCACTAACCAGACATTCTATATTAGCACCACCACATTGTAACAAGAAAACTTCTATATCCACATCACTAACATCAATTTTTCTTTTGAATGGTTTGTTGAAATTTAGCATAGTTAAAATGGGCTTGTTTATTAAGACGACCTTAAATTTCTTGTAGACATCCTGACAAGATACCACACTTTGGCTTCGACCTCCGATAAACTTGTTAATGGAGGTGCTGCTGTGCTGAAAATTGGGACAAATCTCCTGTAAATGATAGTGCGTGAATAAACCTGCATAGTGCCTGGTCGTTGCCTACTGAAAGGAATAAATTGTTGAGGCTGATCAAAATTGACAGCTTTGAAATGATTGAGGAATATTGACAGCCTGTCTATCAATCCCTGTGAATGGTTCCACATGCATCCTGGAATAACTGCTGGAACCTTACACTCTTCAGAATTCCACCCTTCCCATGGAGCTGCATCCTTTCTTAGCATCTGCAGTGGCTCAGTTAAGATGAGAACTATAACTGGGTGGTTCACATGTGGAATGAACTGCCAGAGGAAGTGGTAGATACAGGTACAGTTACAACATTTAAAAGACATTTGGGCAGGTACATGAATAGGAAAGGTTAAGAGAGATATGGGTCAAATTCAGGCAATGGGACTAGTTGGACTGAAGGCCCTGTTTCCATGACTCGAATCTATGAAATCCATGCATCAAAGAAATTACAATATCTTTCATTTGGATTTTGGAACAATAAATTCCATAAAGGCTTGTACATTGGTTAGTCTGAACGACACTAGACCTTGTCCTACAACATGTCACAAATAAGTGACCCTGGCTTTGACAGATTAAATTTTTGCCAAATGTCTCATGAAGCCATTTTTGTAGCCTCTCAATTAATTTACTGATGTGTTTCATATGGTTCTTCCAAGAGTCACACGAAGCCAACAAATTGTCAATACATCGCAGTTCAGTAGTCCATGAATTGTTTGATTGGTTGCCGTTGAAAAGTAGCTGGCGAACTTTTTGTTCCAACTTTGAAGAAGGTCATCTGGTGTTACATAAGCTGCAATTTCTCTGGCTTGTTCTATTAGTGGCATTTTCTACAGCTTCCTAGTGAGTCAGTCTCACTGATACACAATGATTCTCCAAAATTTTTGATACAATCTTTGCAGCATCGCTTAAGAATCAATTTTTACTATGGCATTTACTTTACAATAACCAGTGCAAAATGTTGGAGTTTTTATATTTTTGTATCAGTGTAACTGGTGAATGCTAACTGTTTTGACTCATTTCAATGATCTTACTACCTAAAATGAAAGTGATTGCATTTATAACTATTTTTTTCAGTCTGTAAGGGTTTTGTTTAATGAGTGGAGGATTTTCCACATCAAAAACGTGTCTTGTTAGAGAAGTTCATTCTGGTCCACTTCTACAGAGTGCGTTAAACTTTTGATGACTTGACTATGACACTGCTAGACTCTGCTGGAATTAATGCGATATATTATTCAATATTTTTAACATCTCTGTGTTGACTGGGGATTTAATTAGATAAACTTTCCATGATATCATTCTCTTCCTTCAGTTTTACCCGAAGTACACTTGTTTGCAGGATATCTTCCCTGATTATAATAGTGTTTCAGTATACTCAAAGAACACCCTATATTGAGTTTTTTTTTCTGTCTGGTGTACAATTAACGTAGCCTCTCTCATTACATTTCATTTTAACTGATTGAGATTTACTAAATGGTGCTGACAGTCATCACAGAATTTAATGTTGCACAGATCAGGCTGGTAAATCCATTAATAGAAGCTGACACTCCTAACTTGCCATGTACAGCTTTCTCCTCATCCACCCTGCACCTCCAATTGCATTATATTGTGTTGCCATAGTCATACCAGACCATAGGCTGCTCTCTCATTAGGGAGAGACAACTAGTGATGGTTTAACCTGAGGGCCACCATGCCTCAGGCGAGGGGAGAGTCCTTCAGCCATTGATGAGAATTGAACCCACTCTGCTGGCATCACACTGCTTTGGAAACCAACCATCCAACCATCCAAACCAACCTCAGCACTTCTAATAAAGGGGACTGCACAGCTGGCCTTGAACTTCACCCCAGCTTCTCTGTTTCCTGGGTTCAAATCCCACCACATCAGATAATGGAATTTGAATTGGATAAAAACCTGACATTAAGAGTCTAATGATGACCAGGAAAGGCATTGTCGATTGTTGGAAAACCCCATTGGGTTCACTAATGACCTTTAGGGAAGGAAACTGCTGTCCTTATCTGTTTGGCCTACATATGACTCCAGACCCAACGTAATGTGGTTGACTCTTAAACCCCTCTGGGCAATTAAGGATGACTAATAAATGCTGGCCTCGCCAGAGACACCCACATTTGGTGAGTGAAATCTGGTCTTCAGTGTTTCACCTTGCTTAGGGAACAAAAACAATGCTAAGTCCATCAGGTTCAGTCCTGTGTTCTTCAGGTACCTTAACTGTTTGTCCTATTGTTACCACTGTTGGGAAATTGTACAGTGTTCTTGAGCAACTGCACGTGGTTTTGAAAGTCTGTCTCAGAGTTTGAACACATACTCTCCTCCTATTGATCCATAAACTTGCATAAATGGAAGTTCTCTTTTAACTTTCTGTCCACGCAAAGGGATGGAAACCTGCTGACTTATTAGGTGTATCCTGAATTGCAAACAATAACGTTGGTATTCCCTATTCCAAACCTTTGGATATTCTAGAAAATAAGCTTTGACCCTAGCCTCTTTGAGCTTTGAGGGCATCTTTCCAACCTTCCCCTCACAACTAAGGGTAATATGTAGTTGATTTAAATTACATTATTCCTAAATTGCCCATAGTTTCCTGGGACACTGGTGAATTTTGAATCTTGGTCATATTTGGTTAACAAACAAAATTAACCCTTCTTAAGGGAATGGGCTCTGGAATCTTGTAGTCAAACCCACAATTGTTAGAATGTATTGGTATCCCATTTTAGCTTTAGGACTTGCAGAATCCATAGAACATAGAACATAGAACATAACAGCGCAGTACAGGCCCTTCAGCCCTCGATGTTGCACCAACCTGTGAAACCAATCTGAAGCCCATCTAACCTAAACTATTCCATTATCATCCATATGTTTATCCAATGACCATTTAAATGCCCTTAAAGT